CTTATATCATCTGCAAATGATTTATGTTCGAAGTTATTGATTGAGGAATTTAAAAAAAAAAATGAAAAGGAATTTATTGACCTTTTTGTTTCAAATTCTTTTTCTTTTTTGAGGATTTATTCTCTAAGTAACCTTTTATGCGAGTTTTAGATTCACCCCGAGCTCTTTTGTTTGGTGGAGCACGCAACTCTACATCCTCGATAGGATTTCGTATTGAATGTTTTTCAGGGGCAACCTTTTTTTTTTGAACTCTTCTCATGTTCTTCACCATTCTTTATAATTGTATCCACCTCTAACTCAAATTGTAGCGCCTTTGACTTGATAATCGAATATAATGAGTCAGATTTAGAACCTTTAACCACAACTCTTTGGAAAATATGTGAGAGCTCACTATAACGACTTGTGCATTTTGGATCAATGTCACTTGGAATCACTTCTCCATATGAGTCATAAACAACTTCATCTATGATACCCCTAGTCTATCTCTTCAAATAATATTGAGCATGTAGACTTGCAAGATCTAAATCACGAAAAAGTTTCAAAACATGAGAACACAAAATCCCTTCAAACTGAAATTTTCTGCAAGTGCATTGTACTGACTGATTAGAATGATTATAAGTGACTTTACGAGTCCTTCTTCTTTTTCCCATTTGTTCGACATTATAAATTTGAATTGTCCCTTCTTCACTCTCTAATTTTATACGAAGATCAATAATTTGTTTATATTCTTCTTGAAAAATATTAAACATCTTCCTTATATAAACTTTTGAAGCTTCACGCTCAACCGACCAGTTTGAACATAAAATTGGTTTCGTTCGCAACATTTGAGTTTCAGCTTCTTTTTCTTTTTGGCGTAGACAAGTCATGGCTTTGCTGTATTGATCCACAAAAGACCGAAGAAGTGTATTACTAGGAAATAAGCTTTCAAAAACTTGTTAATACTTTCACTTCTTTGTGTAGTATTTATACCAGCACAAAAATAAGCATGAGCATAAACTTGAGCCCACTTTTCTCGCAGTTTGTACAATCCAAGCAGCCATTTGTTATCTTCTAAACCATAATCATCAAGTAATGCTTTCCAAATCTCCTCAAATTCTTCAACCGTCTCTGGGTCATATATACATTCTTTGAAACGCTTCGAAAAACTTTCGAATTCTGCAAAAACCTTAGCCAAGTGCTTTGCACCATTTTGAAAGATATGCCAAATACATAACCTATGATGAGCATCCAGAAATACAGATGCAATTGCATTTGAAATTGCCATGGATTGATCAGTAAATATTGTACTCGGTTTCTTTCCTCCCATGACTTCTGAAAAATTCTCAAACATCCAAATGATTGCATCACTTGTTTCCCCTTCTAACAAACCACATCCAAAAATCGTGGTTTGGCCATGATTATTAACACCAACTATTGGTGCACAAACTAGATTGTAGTTGTTGGTACGAAAAGTTGTGTCAAAGCAAATAACATCCCTAAACAACTCATAATCACGCCTAGACAATGCATCACAAAAGAAGATTCCCTGTATTTCACTTTCTTCGTTGGTCAAAATATTGTAAAAGAAATGCTTGTTTTCTTGTTTCTTTTGCTTAAAATACTCAATGAGACATTGTGCGTCACCTCTCTTGAGAATTTCAATACAACCTCGTTGTAATAAATTGTTGCAATCAGGTTGACTGAAGTTAATGTGTTCTGCTCCACCAGCCTCTGCACAAAAGTAGTAATATATATCAGACGGTTGAATTCCAGATGAATGCATTCCGGCTTGAGATTTTTTTACACCTCTATGAGACCTCAACAAATATGAACAAGATGGAGGGACAAGCTCATGATTGTGCTCAATTATGAATTTTTTCAACTCAAATTTCTCATCTTTATTCAAATGAATCTCAAATTTTGCTAGACATCCAAATCGTCTCTCTTCTCTTTTTTTTCTTGGAGTATTAACCTTTGTATAAGTACCTTCACATGAACAACATAATGTTTGAAGTACTATTTTCTCTGGATCGCGACGATGTTTATTTGTCCTTTTAATTTTTATGCTAAACCCAACTGTTCTTGCATATTCATTGTAGTAATCATATGTATCCTTCAAGTTTTCAAATATCAAGCCAATTTTTGGGACCAAATTTTTCATCCAATTCTTCAAAAGTAGTATTGACTGTATCGTTGGCATTCGTATTATTTGATCCAACAACATCTATTAAACCTTTGTCTTGTGAATTTTCTTCCTCCATAGTTATTAATCGTATAGTTATTGAACGAGAGATAAAAAAACAAAGAAGAACGAGTTTCAAAACAATCAGATGTAAACGGGGAAGAAGAAGGGGATACGGTTTTGAAGAGAAACCAAAAACTCAATTTTTTCATTTGTGGTTTTAGAAATATTTGTTTTAAGAAATAAGTATTTTAGTTTTCTAAAACTCTTTTTCGGTTTTTATCAATAATAATTATTTAATCTTAAATTTATTTTAATTACGAAGCTGATGTGGAGTTTATCACGAGGTGGACCAATCAAATAAAGAATTTCATTGTATGTCCACAAAATTGGACTAATTAAATGTTGCATCACAACTAGTAGAGTAATACATATCACACCATCTGGAATTATATAGTTTGTTGTATATCAAATCATCAACATTTTGCATATCATAAGATGATACTAAATGCCAAGTTACAGACCATTTACTCTATGATGCTAATTACCTATCTACCTTAATAAAATACCCAATTTACAAACATGTTAGCAGGCTCCAAACTGCCTCCAACATAAAATCATCTCTTTTGTACCAAAATAAAAAACCTTGATCTAGAGAACATGTAAGAAATGATCTGCTTCAACATCAGCAAAGAATTGTTTAAAATTGTATTTGCACTACGTGCCACCAAAAGTCCACAACCACAATCTCTTTGAGCATAATATAAGGATCTTTTCCATTGTAATTGTTTAATGTTCTTTAACCTTAATCCAAGGGCTTATTAAGATCTATAATAACAAAGCACAATTATTGGATTTTAAACACATCATACACACACACGTACTAACAAAA